ACCCCTTAAAGTCACTTAAAGGACCAGTAGAATACCAGCGCAAGACCACGGTAGACTTGGGACATGACCATGTATCCATCAGTGACTGACAATGACTTTTTTGTACATGTCACTTTGTTTTTGGTGTGAAATAAAGGTTTTTCTTTCTATCTTCTTTCTCTTAAAATAAGAAATGCCAAAATAAACATAAGATAAATAAGTAATTTAAGCAGTTGTGAAAGAGTTCAATATACAGTCGAATAGCCTTTGTATTTTATATAAATTAATCAAAGGATTCATTACGTAATGTCTAAAACTTTCTACGTCAGTGATCAATTTCTTTAATTGCTCGATATCATGCATTTACATAAACATACCGAAACATTTGAATGTGTCGCGTATAATTTAACACGTCTACATGCTCACCTTGCCATAATATCCGAAATTCCTAATTCTACCACTGAAAATTGTATTCAAGGTTGAATAGAATATTTAATTCATAATTCGTATAATGAAACAAATGATTTATTATGTGTCAGATGTCGTCTTCGTGCTATAGTGGTTGTATAAATTTCAAAATTTTAATTTTCATGTTTCGTCCATAATGTCATCAACATTGTTTCGAAAATGTTATCTGCATGTGTCAATGTTTGACGAGGACAGTTTTTCGAAGGTAAAATGTCACAAACATTTGCAATTTTGATAAAAATGCTAATTTATCAGTAAGAGCAATGATTTTATAAGAGTAAATTCTCTTTTAAAACTGGAACAGTACGTTTCACTTAACCTGAAATTGTAGAATTATAAAGTACTAGCTTCTGCCCGCGACTTCGTACGCGTAATCCCATTTTTTCCCGTCCCCGTTCGTGACTTTTGGTAAAAAAAAAAAAAAAATGTTGGTTAAAGTATCCTATGTCGGTCTCCTGGCTCTAAGCTACCTTCCTACCAATTTTCAGCCAAATCTATTCTGCCATTCTTGAGTTATAAGTGGTGTAACTAACACGACTTTCTTTTATATATATAGATATCTGCAACTAAGGCTTTTCTTCCACGTTTACGTGTTTGCGTGCTTGAAATCTCAAGTGGAGTGATGTCATAAAATTTATCACCGTCTAAGTGTTATCTAAGCTAAAGAGATCACTCAATCTTTCTCTTCCTCATGCCTATCCAGCGATGATGTCACGTATCATTGAAATGTATAATCCACAGTCGTAACATCAAACACAATTTGTACAAGCATATGCTAGTACGTGCTTATTTGAGCCACCCACTAGCTATCAAATTACAATATGAATAAGCACTAACTCCACCCTTATGTGTGTTATTTAAAATATCACATGTTATGTAACTTAAAATTATGCAGTGACTCAATTCAGTGACTATAAAATTCGTTCGATATCTGCCTCTACATATAATGATCGTAATTTTATTACTATTTCAAGTTCGAACTATGCATTATAGCTAATGAATTTCTATACAATATACAGAAAAATTATCCTTCTATAGAAAATGTTGAGCTGCCTCTCAATAGTGTCTTTCATATTGTAATGAACTGTATGAGAGAGATTGTAAATAGTTTTGGTTTTAGGTAAAGAGTTTTTTGCCCGTTTAGAGGAACGAACACGGACAGCTTCACTGACAGACAGATTGACAGATAATTAGATTTTGAGAAGTGTCTGTAATTATGGATTAATATAAATAGATTCTTTGACTTTGTCGTTTGTCTACGATCGATCAATTAAATTAAAAACTTTAACCTTATATGATCTCTATTTAGAAGTCCATACAAATGTCAATCACCTGTTCAGCTCATGTTGTTGTTATAGATTTAGTTTGAAAATAGGTTCATACAATAGTTATGAATTTCACATAATGACTAGTATGACTAAGTTTTTCTTATAAATTAAGTAAGAATTGGCATCTGCATAAATATCAAATCTTCTCACACTTGCTACATCTACATATGTTGATTATTAAATCATACCTTTTTACGTAATCTAATCAGGAATATTGATTTCTATCGTCAATATAAAATATCAACAAGAAAACATAAATAGATAGGAATTATGAATCTTATAATATCTAATTGAAAGAAAGTACCAGATTAATGCTGATAATGCTAATTATGCGATCAATTTATTATAAATAGTGATAACTTCGTATACTACCTATAATAATCTCAGCAGTGAGAAATGTTTAACATAGCAGTACAAAAGAATAATTAAGAGAATTGTGTAAAATTGCACTCAGAAATTTCGAACAAAGTGAGTATCAAGAATGATTATGTGAAATATTATTTCAAGTTCTTGATCTATTAGCTTTCTCTGTCCCACGGCCTAAAAGTGAAGTGCAGAACAAAACAGCATTGTCGTAATCCAGCTTATCGAACCATCTTTTTTACTTTAAATATAAGTTCATTATGGATATACGATAGAAATCTACGACTTTACTTTCTTTTCAGAAAAATGAATTATTTACTTTTTTTAAATCTATTTATTAGTTTAATAGTAAAAGCAGTAAGATTTGCTTTATTGGTGCTGTCGTAGTAAGAAATCTTAATTTACAGATAATTCAGTATTGCAATCTTTGTATTGCTACAGGCAATTAAGTACCCATATGTTTAATACATGCAATTTAAATAGTTAAAATACATAATTATTAGTAGTAGTTTTATATAAAATAGTACAGTGCAGTTTTTGTACGTTAGTTCGATAATGATGTAAGGAAAAATGGAGATGTTTGGTACCTATCAAGATTTGTAACAATCTAGAATATATCTACAGTTGAACACGTGTATTTACAAGTTATGCAATTTACATTGGCTAAAAATATCAAAATAGTGATGAATATTAAAATGAATATTCAAAAAATTTGGAGAAAATCTATAAAATAAAAATGTTAATTGGTTTCGTGTTTTATTAGTTGACATCACCAGGTTGTTACAGATAACCTGAACTTTGGGTACACCACGTAAGATTTCTATTATCCTGGTATCTAGGAAACAATGATTTGAAATAGAAGGAAGGATGTTAAATATGTGTAAAATTGGTTTAAAATTTTCCCATATGTAATGGGTCGGCATTTGGCCACTATTTCGCCTGGTGGCAAGCGATGATGCAGCCTATTGTTAAACTATCGAGAAATAGGGCTTAGACGCTGAGGAACTCGCGGAGAACCTAACGGGTTACCGGGGCTCCGGCTCGACGTGTAGGAGAAAGAACGGGGTGGTTTTTAGTCAGTAAGAGTCTGACACTCCTTCCCGCCGTGGCGGCGGGCGGGAGCAGTCATTCGATGATTTCTCCCCCTTAAAAAAAAGACACTGACGAATATTACATCATAAATAATACACATATGCTACCTACACCATCAGCAGTTATACATGCAATTATTGTAACACATAAGTTGCTTAATTTTATCTCTACACGTTTAATATACTGAGTGCGTATGGTTGTATGATTAATTCACCTTTAGCGTGAAATGGCATCTTAATAGCCAGTTTAACAGCAGTTGGAACGAGTGGAAAGTTTATCATAAACAAAAGCTGGGTGCTTCAACTCATCTGCTATCGTTCCGTCTCAGTCTAGACGTAGAAACTGGAAATGATGTGAAATGATTCAAAATTTCACCGATAACGGCGACTGCAGTCGTAACACGTGTGACTGGAGTACGAATGATGAATCCTTAATAGCCATCATTCTCTTCCGACGATTCATGTAAACGAGCGCACCGCATAATCACGCACCAGTTGCGTCATTCGGGGAAAGTGCATCAATGAATTTATTGTTTAAATATTATATTTTATTTAAACAGTTTCACACACCGATTGTTCTAGACTAGTAACTCAATAAAGAATACATTAGGTAATATATTTTCATGTCTTTGTAGCAACGCACTTATAATAGGAATTCTGATTTTAAAAGCTTTCAATAGTTTTCTAATTGGGTGCTAATTAAGTAATTACATTGATACAATTTGAACTGTATGCTAATATAGCTAAGAACGGTAATTTGTACGATACCGCAAAATCTTTTGACTATAAAGGTTATTGTCTGTTATGGGTCACAAATTACTTAACAGGTACATACATATTCAAGTGGTGTGCTATGCAGCGCATGTAAATTTCCGCATTAGCGTCTACTTTGTACACATAAAATAATGCTTGCATAGAGATGCAGTCATTTGCATGACAGATGACCATCCATGGAGATAAAGAACATCGACGTAACTACAGCTCATTTTTATACGAAGCCAGTCGTTAGTTAATCGCAATGTAGCTTTTACTTGACATGAAGAATAATAGAAAATCGTGCTTTGCAATATAGTGAAAGGTTATAAATGTCCACGTTATATTATGTAGACATCATCAATAAAATTTTCACATTTTTGTGAATACGGATTAAGATTCTTATAAGCGGTTGCGTAACTATCATCAATTAAGAATTATTTACTGAATAAGTTAACAAGACTTATGGTGAATTTTAACGTTAGATATGAATAAGTATGTAGTTGGTAAGTAAAGGTATCATGAAAACTTAATTAGGAAGTGTGAAAATATCCTTTAAACGGCGTCATTTTACTAGGTAAGTTTATAAATTATTCTTCTGTTTCCAAAATTTTATAAAATTATTATTTAAATGAATTTTGTCTTTCAAATAAATAAATAACATTAATAAGTAAGATAGGTACCTAAACATAATAAGTTTGTCGCGTTGTCTTTTTTCTAGTTTCAGATTTACGAAGAAAAGCTTAAAAACATAAAAAACCATTCAATCCCTTAAAAAACTAAGGCTAGGTTTACAATATGTGATTAAGTAGATAATTTAGGATTATCATATAAAAATAATGAATAAAATGTTTCGGTTAAACTACCACCAACATGCATGCAAATCAAGCCCGAACACTTTAAAATTAAGTCGTAAAACACACGCATTCATTCATATAACTCACGCATTCACTAATAAAGTTCACGCACAAAACTTCAACGGCACTGTTAACGTAAATAAATGAACACCGGTACTCACTGGGCGCATCTTGCCGGCTCTCGAGGTTCACTTGTAGCACTATGTTACTGCAACGTGCAACGTGTATGTCGACGACGACGACAAAGCCAGGTGGTTGTCGCACGTGTGGATGCGGCCCGGTATCTGCGTATACTGCGCCTGCGTGAGAACACCTCGCTCCGTCGACCACCGCTGCTGTTGCGCCCGCGCAGCTCCCAAACAGCCACTGATTGTATATAATATGACATCCGATATGCCACAAGGATGTTGCCAATATACGATTATGTGTACATAACCCAACTGCCTGCTTTGATTTCTGTAACAAAGGGATATAAAAATGTTTATAAACAACTACTTGGTTTTAAGTTTGTGGAATTTAAATTTAATTTATAAGGGGGTTTTGTTAATACTATAATAAAATTATAACCATATTTAATATGTAGGTAGTTATCTAGTTTAGATGTTTATTCTGGAAAGAAAATTATTTTTACAATTGCAATTCATGAACACAGGTCTCAGTATCTTTAGGTCGGCCAAAGTAATTTTATCTTAATATTTTAATAGTTATAAGTATAATAACACAAAGTTTGTAATTAGGTAAGCTTCTATTTTTGTGTAGTAGATGAGCCCTCTAACAATAAGACTCATAATAATAACTGGCGCAAAGTTAATTCAGGTACTGTAAGTTTGACCCCTTTTGATAAATTTTTATATATCTGACTTGTGATAAATATTATAATATTATGCTAAGTATCCCATATATATATTCAATTTATCACAATCTTTATTGTCCAGTCGCATCGAATGTAAATAGTAAACAATACGCAGTAGCATCACTAGGTAGGTACTATAAAATAATGTTAAGCACTATTTAATGATTTTATTTATATGAGATATTATTTTATTCCCAGCAATATCCTTACAGACTAATCCAAATCGATATTGAGGTTTCATATATCTAAATTACAAACTAGATTTTTAACTAACCTAATAAGCTAACCATAACAAATGCTAAGCTAAGCTAAGTGCTACGTTAGTGAATTCACTCAGAGTGCAATAAAACATATCAACGTCTTTAGTTATTTATCGAACTAAACGAAAAATTTTCAAAATTATAAACGAATCTGGGACCACGGAATGGCCCCGCCAAGTCGAGCACGAAGTAAACACTGCCGTACCATCCTTCACTGGAACCACTTCGCCGCATTTTCAGACGCCGCATTTTGAGAACTTCTGGATAAGACCAGCTTACTTAGCTTAGACTTTTTCTAGATTTCATTACTTTTTAGAGATCAACGAGCGGCTCCATCGAGACTTGGCTATGTTTTTACAGAACGTTTTTGGTTGGATTATTTTGTGTAGATGAGCATACGTACAATTACTATATCCATCTCGTAGCTAAATACCATAGTAGCATTCAGGTAGAGCATGGCGTCAACTAGTGTCATCTCAATGATTGCGCAATATCGGGATCTGTGGCTGATTTTAAGCGTGTTTAGTATGTAAGGGTTAGGTAAACGCTTTCTTAGACTTCCGCATAACATTAGCATGTTTTACCACTTGTTACACACATTAGAATCTATACAAGTTAAGACTGACATTCGGCACAGGTCACAGCTCATGTGTGCCAGAAGTGTTTTAACAATGGTGAACACTACCTGCTCATGCGGTGGACAAGGAGTTAAGGAGTGTGTTATGTTATATAGAGTGTAGACGAACGCTCCCGAAAAACGCCTGCAGGTGATGGTCAAAACAAGTTTTTAAAAAGCAAGGAATTAAATGTTTCTGTTATGTAACTAGCTGTTGCCCGCGACTTCGTTCGCGTGGAATTGTGATTCACAGCTCCTCCTCCGTAGATGATAGCGTGAAATTATATAGCCTATATGTTGACCCGACCTGTTAGTAATAATCATGCAAAATTTGAAGTAAATCCATGCAGTACTTTTGTTGATCATCCCGGACATACATACAGACAGACAGACAAACATTCTTAAAACCATATTTTTGACTTCGGTATCGATTGTAGATCACGCCGCAAGTATTATTTTTAAAAACTATCCAATGTACAGTTTTGAATTGTCTACGATTTTATTATATGTATAGATAATAGTTGTAATCAACTGCTCAAGGCTGATCTTCCATGAATAATACGAAAATAAAAAACGAATAAATTGTAAAAACAATGTCTTTTTGTTAACGTTTCAGGAGCTTTCTATTTATACCAATACATACATAACCAGAATTAAAAGTTTCAGTTTTGTACTGGTTACATTTTCTTGTAACGTTGTGTTCATGATGTTTTTTGTTGTAGTAATAATATGTAATATTATTGAGGATTACAAATTTTGCAAAACCGTAAAACTATTTGACTTCGGATTAGACTGAATCAGGTAATTTTCTTATAGGTATAGGACTTTTTTATGAAGATACATGTTATATTTTATGACATTAATGCGTGGGTTATAAGATGTCTGATAGAGCGTAAAACATAAGCAATGCTCGTCACCTGAATTTGTTATGCCTTTGCAACAACGTTGACGGTTTCTCGTGTAACTCCATTGAGTACAATAAAGACACAGTTAAAGATGTATGACGAATACTAAAAATAATGTGAGTATTATGTCACACGACTCACGCGAAATACCCACCTGTAAGTAATGAACCTAAGTTAGGTGAACGTAGTATCTGTAGTAAATAATACTTAGTCATTGAAAACTCTCAGGATAAAGGAGTATAGCCTATAAGTACCTATGTACACATCCATGAGTACCAAACGAGTATCTACTTATGAGCTTATTTAATTTTAAATAACTGTTATGTCACGTCAATAGTACCTTTGTATATTCTAGAAAGTGGTTTCCACCGGCCCTATAACCTGGTCACTTACCTATCCCTAGCTTTCATGACCTGCAAATGCCGAGTAAGTTGGCCTTTAATACTGCAAAGTACATTTCGATATACTAACAAAATAATGAAACTATCAAATACACACATGACACCTACCAAGAATTGTGTCGTGTGGTAATCGAACACGCGATATATTGTCAAGCAACCGGTTACTCAGCCACTGCGCCAACCGTGCAGTCAAATTTATAATTTGTTTGACAATTATGCTGCTTTCTCTGTAGAAAAATACACAGGTGAATATATGAATAATAAAAATGGCAATAGTACATAAATAATCACACAAATATTCTTGTAATATGGATTACATTTTAATTTTTCGTGAAAAGTAGCAGAATCAAAATGTTAGTAGCATTTATACGGGGTCAAAGCGCAGCGACCGAGGGGCGCGCCGCGCGCCGTGTCTCGGCCGTGGGTTCGCGCGATGTATGGACTTTCTTTTCCGTAACCTTAAACCGGGTCCTCACAACACAGGCGTGGCGAGAGCGGATCTTTACGCGACAATCGAGATTTGTTTGAAAGTTTTAGCGGTTTGAAAGGATCAAATGTTGATCTAGAGTCGGAAGTGAATCCGGTCTCACTTGGTCCTGTTTACATTTACATGTCTTCGACGCACTAGGAACCGGTTCTCGGAACGATGACATAATTTTTAGGCAATTTTTAAATCATACAATGATTTATCTTAACTATCAACCAAAATATATTCTGATTAAATATTAAATATGGAAAACGCACACACTAATTGTATAAAGTATATACATACTTAATCTTTTTTATAATATAGTTAAGGAAGAAGTAAGTATTGTTACATTCCTATAGCTGTTCAATAAAACGCTGACGCTTATTACTCGTAGACATTTGTGGCAATGTTCATATTATTGGAGGATTCAATAAGTAGTGTAGTCTATTACAACACAAAACGATAATGCAAGAATACTTTTGTATTGCGATACTGTTGTCATAAATACATTTTAGCCAAAACCTGCGTAAATATTATAATGTTTCTGCAAGTACCTGTAAGGTTGCAAATATAGGTATTAAGTAGCTATTTATTCAAGATAGGCATGTGCCTATACCATGGCTCTTCTTAAGACTTCTCCTTTTCTTCTAAGTAGTTATATTCATATATTTTTACTACATCTATCAGTATAAAACATAATATGTTTTTAGGTGCAATTGTTAAGCAAATAGAAACTAAGAGAGGCTTTATTAAACACGGGTTTCGTCACATTCCATTAATAAGATAGGCACCAATCAACGAATGACAAATAGAAGTGTAAAAATATTTGGTAACTTATGTTCCCGTCAATAGAGATATCACATAACAATTAATCATTCATTTTGATGGTCTCGCCGCCGCCGCTGCTGCCATCCAATATACCGCAAATAGTAGATACCATAGACATTGTTAGTCACTTGCATGAAAATTAATGTTCATAATATTTTTCACTTTTTAATGAGAAAGTAATCCATGTTTGTTTAGAGGTTCCATATTTTTCTAATTGGTAAACGAAATTGAGGTGTAAATTACCCGTTTATCTTAACAGTACAATTTACTTACAGCTGGCGTCGTCATTAAACATCTCATTTTACAACTTATTAAAATTCCATGTTTTGTAAGAAATGCTTTTAGCGTCACAATCACGGCAACTGGTTGCATATCCAATACTTACTATCCAACAAACCCAAATGATGATTAATCGTATTTCCATAGTGCAAGACACAAAGCCTCTAGTTAGGGTAGGTACTCCTTCCATTTTGCGAACGCATTTTGTGAAAGTACAGTTCTTGTGACCCGCCCTCATGCACGAGTGGCACACACCACGGGGTTTTTAGTGGGTTCGAGTCCCACATAACGGCCTCAGCCCCGCGAGACCGGGTATGCACAGCATTTTCACCGGGTGAAAAAAAAGTATTCCTTCCATAGTCAAAATGCTTTAAAAATATTAAAATAATATGCATTGATTAAACTGTCAAACACCAAGCGGTCACCGGTGACCGCAACCTATTGTTCTATAATTGTGTCTACAAAACCGGTACTCGACGAGTTAAATACTAATTTAATTAATAGGTACTCACATAATACAGGTCCACCTGAAAATCAAGATGTGCAGTAATTGAATTACCTAATTCTCGACCGGTTCATTCATATTTTTTATTGCTCACCTGACGGAGACGTCGTTGGTATTTTTACAGTTTTATTGTAATTTCGTCATAGTGCGAGGCTTTCTCCGGGTGTGTCATTTACATACATGCGCACATTTCTGTTTGCTTTACAGATTTCACCATAACTCACATGTACCCACGCGAGACTTGGCGTCTCGAGGGTGTAAGAACAATTAGAGACTCATCAATGAATTGTTTACATTGCACTTAGCATCACGTAGTACTCGATACAATCGGAGACTTGCGAAATATGTACGGCGTGTAATGCCCGAAGGGCTGTTGGCCTGTTGGCATTCTGAATATAGTGTAATAATTATGTGTGTCAAGTTATAAGAGGTTGCCATGGTGCTATGATATATGATCTAATGATGTGGTAAAAAAAGATTTATTAGCGGCTTATTTAATAATACGGTGACTTTAACCTTAATTATTTTATAATAATTGTAAAGTTTATTTAGGTAGGGTTACGTACGTCCATGTCAGTATTATGTACCTACCTAGATAAGTAGGTTTATGTTTAGTAATTAGTACAGAATTACAGATATTACACTTCATAGCCTAAAAAGAAATGGAGTATGTTAAAGTTATTTTCTTTCAATGCCATAAAGTATCTATTAACGATCAATTATCTTGGGTGCACCATAGTAGTACCTAACTACTTACATACAGCCTTATTGGTGGATCTTGTTGTCTTATTGCATTTAGAATAATATTGGATTACGGGCGCCTACGTGACCTTGGTCTTTGACACCATCGTACGCCCTTTTAATGGTGGTAAACATGTAGTCTTCTTGGTGGTCCCCTTAAGCGAAAAAGGCTTGTATTGCTTAAGCTACATGGCCATTAATATGCATTAAGAGTTATTATGTATTTTGCCTACTTGTTCAAATTACGCATGAGTTCGTAATATTAACAATAAAGTATGTAATAACAATTTACCTACATAGCCAAACGATAAAATACGAAATGCTTGAGAATGAGATGCTTGTTCATAGTTACCGCATACATTTTATGAGAGATGTTCACCTCATAAATAAACTTAACATAATGATGGTATTAAATTATTATAGCACCCTCATTTTAGGTATGTAGGTAGATTAACACGTTAAACGCCATGGCAGTCACTGGTGACCGACATTAGCGGAGGATTTGCCTTCAATAGTTTTTTATTGGCAGCCAATGCCTTAAATTATCGGTTTTTGGTTATTTTTAGGCACTAGTGATCATCAGTGGCTCTGTGCGAGATAACAAAATAATGAAAACACATAAAGAGGAATATATTATGAATACTATAAAGTCAAAAGTTAATATGTAGAAAGACTATCCTTATATGTAAGTATGTACCGTTACTTAAATGAGAGTAGGTACCAAACACAATATTATTATTGTGAACCTGTTATTTGTTGAAAGTTCATTGTATCACTTAAAGTGCACTCTGCAGTTACATTGTCTATGTTATGCGCGTGGGACGTTGAATTCTATTGTGTAATATTTATTTTTATAGCATTCACCACATTTAGACTTTACTGTCGATATAATTAATACATAATAACATTTTTCAAGGACAAGTTCGAGGTTTAAGACTATATTTTTTGTTTTGTTCATGAGTAAAATTGTTTTATTTAAATGACAGAATTGATTTTCTGGAGAGATAATTATCTGTGTGCCAAAATAATTAGGTTATGTCCATAGAAAGCGTTCACCTACAAAGATTTTGGTTCAGACGTGGGCTGTCATATTTTTATACTATTAATGTTCTTTATATCATAAAAAATATTTTTTGTAAGGAATTATGAGGCAAATTCAAATTCTATGTGCAATGATAATTATCCTCATCACCTATCAATACTTATGAACTCCATGATGCACCGACAGACGCATATTCAAATACCTTTTTTAATTTTGTTATTTAAATAAGTTATTTTAATTAGTTTTGATAGTTATCTAGTTAATATTATCACTAAATCAACAGCGGGAAAGCAGTATTCAAAATATATTCATCCATTTAGTCCCATTAAAATAGCAGGTTTTCATTAAGTGGGACTGTTAACTGGTAAAACATTTAAGATGTTGAAATATATCACATTAACAGGTACAAATTAGTCTAAGAACAGAAAAAAGAAAAAATATAGTTGGTATTTTAAAACATTTTATTCACCTAAAAACGCCTCCTTTCACAGTGCAACAAGGTTCACAAATTAAAATAAGTCTAAAATTCGTGAGAGTAATTTTCTACGGTTTCTTATTATATTTTGTGGTTTAATTTTTTTTAACAACTTAATTACTTGCTTTGGAAATTTTTAAGTTAATTTTACGACACAGTTAATGCATTCATTTCATTAAGGATTGCAAGAAACGACATCTATTGCGGAATATCGTATGAATTTATTGTGAGGAGATTATAAAGTTGACTATTTTTGTATGAACACAGCAGTACCTACTGCGGATATATTTCCCGATACGGAAATTATTTATTTGTGAAGAACTGGTAAATACCTAGGTACGCGTTATAATGATGTTAACCAAATCCTAGCCAATTAAGACTAAAGGTCTAAATCCAAAGGTCGAAAACGGGGAAACGTATTTTTTATTTTCTACTTAAACAACGTTTAGCAGTTCTTTCCTTAAGCACCTACGCATTGTATAAATATACTCGTACCTACCTAATTTTTGCCTACAATCAAACACCAGTAAACGCATATTCACACATGTGGGTGACCTATTCATTATTCCTAAGTTACGATAAATGTATTCTGTTGTCACTAAATATGATAAAGATCTGAAAAGTCCACATTTTAATTCATAATGTAAGTAAATAATTATTTATTGTTATCTAATATGAACGTTATGAACAGTATTCGTTGAAAGTTCATGATCACGATATCATTGTATGCATTATTGACATTGGCATTCAATGCATCAAAGATGTTGATTATAAACAAAATATTTTAATGTTTGTGTTGGATTAGTACACCTACCTACGTATTATGTAAAAGTTAAACGTAATACTCTTCTTGGGGATTGGTATAACTACTTGATCATTTTCACTCTAGAGTTGAAAAATAAACATATTAAAAAAAATAGTTTTTTTTAATAAATATTTCTAGGTACGACATTTTGTAATTGCTACAAATGTCCAACAGTATTGTAAAGTAAGTAAGAATCATTATCAAAAAGACTTCTTTGATAGGTACTGCCATTTGTTTTTGTATTTAATTAAAGGTGTGGTCACTAGATTAAGTTTTCTACTGAGCATTGGTCAGGGGTGCTACATAGAGTAGTTGTGCTAAGTTATTCCTCGCATATTTGCCGCGTAGAGGGGCTCCGTGTCCTTGCCTGCCCCAAAGAGATTCCCACGTCTCATGATGCTTACGAACACTTTCTGCTGAATCACGTCGATGCTCCTAAAAATAAATATATATTTTTATTTTATGATCATATTATATTGTGTTTATTTCATTTAAAAATATGTTTAACCTCTTTTTGTATGCACTTTACTTTCATTTGCTGTTTTAGTTCTCTCAAATAATCCATGTTGAGCGATTCCCGCCATCTGTAAAATTCACACACAATTTCTGCACAAATGAACAATTCTACTTGTATATGAAAATATCTTTAATTCAATCATGGTTTTGAATAAGAGTAAAATAAATAAAAAAAAGTAATAAAAAATGCAACGATATGTTAGTCAAAACTCACAAGCTAATGCTAAGGAGGTCATGGTTCAAAGATAACATAACATACAATATCATTTATATGAATACCATAGTTACTCATCGATATCTACAACTGTCGAAGTGTCAACGATCATTATCAACAACTAGCGGTCTTGTGGTGCACATCACAGGCTTAATGAAAGCCGTTAATCTTATGTATAGACCCCGTCGGTGTCGTGTGGACCCCGACCGATAGAAAGCCATGATGCAACCTCTACCTTACCGGATTGGTGACCAAACATTGCTTACCGTTAGGTAACTATATAGCTCGAATTTGTACCGGAAATGTATTCGTTAATATTCATGGTAAACTTGGAACGTTCAAGATCAAATAACAAATCAATCGACAATTCGACACAAAAAAGTGCAAATTCTTTTTTACCAGTGTAGAATATAGGTAAACTTACAAACCTAAGGGTCCGCGCTACCATCTACTAATATGCGCCCAGTACTCACACCAGAATTGATTTCCTTTTTAAAGGACAGTGATAGTGAAAATTAATATTGATTATTGAAGAGATTTACGAAAACCTTGTTACGACATTCGATGACATTTTACATGCGAATAAATTTACGGTTCGGCAAAACTTGACACACAACTATGTAAACTTTTGGCAAATGACTACAGACCTACCATAATAAAAAATCAATGAGCGATGCTTTATATTAGAACCAGGTCATCGGGATTTGAAACAGGTTAGATGCCATGAACTTATAAATTGAATACTATTATTTTCTTTGACATTGGTTACCTTCTATTATCCGCAAAGAATCTCATAAATAATATCGATGACAAAAATTGCGAAATCATGCTGCGTTAGAATATGACAGAGAATAGGTACCTAATCATCGCGTGTATTATTAACATTCATATTTATAAAAACTTGATACGTACTGACACGACTGATCCGCCGGTCTTGTGACATCACTGGATGGCAAAGTGCGTGCGCCAACACGACGTCTTCTAGCAAGAAGTGGAACAAGTTCAACTCCACCGGTTACACGCAAAATAGTTGCTTCAGGTGTTGGCTTTTTCTCAACCACAGCCATAGCATCTTCACTATCGTAACTATCATCAATTATTAGTTTCGTAACTTTATCCCCGTTAGATAATCTTTTGACAAATCTAGTTTTCTTTGGACTTCTTCGATCTTCTGGATTACCTCCATAAGAAATTTCGTGCTTTACCTTAACATCCAAACTAAATCTTCGTTGGTCTGGAGATTTTCTTTGCGGACTGGTACCATATTTGATATTTGGTAACTTTTCTACGTTATGTGGTCTTACATTTTCTTTGTTAGGCGTATCTTCTCTGAAATCATCGTCTCCCTTTACTTTAGGTAAAGTAAGTGAAGATTTGTGCCCATTAGCCCCATTCATTTTCGTTAAAATTTCATTATCTGTCCAACCCTACAAAAAAAAAACATATGCACACATAAATAAATACATACACATATATATTAATTAAGCAATTTTGAAATACTTATGCATAGCATTAACATCACACTTTCAACAGTAGAGTCCCATATTACAATGGGTTTAAATATTTGAATAAATCAATTTCAATACAAACCATAGACTTTGAGAAATTTAGTCCAATGTTTCGGGGGTTCCTCCATATAGTACCACCAGGTCCTGGTTTGCCCCATGGTCCTTCCATGGCGTGCTGCAAATGTAAAATGATGTGTATTATGAACTACAGTTTTAATCAAGAATCTACGTCTATTACCATTTTTCGTTCATATTCCAGATTCTGTTTCCTTTCTTCTCTCATGGCTTTCTTTTTTTTTGTAACCATCTCATCTGAAATATTTTTAGAATTTGTAAATCAATATAAAAATTAGAATACTTTTCAAATTACAATTTAAAAGTTTCAATCACACAATGTATTTCCTTTTCTATTTAAAATAAGCGTTAACGATCTGCATACATCGCAGACTTTCTCATCAAAAATAACTTTACATAAGATGCTAATATTTTATCATAAGTAATTTATGCAAAGGTTTTGCTAAGCGTAGACCTAGAAATATTTATTACAATAAGTTATATAACGCTGGGGTGAAAGTTGATAAGATTATCCTTTATACATATACTATACAAATCAAACAACTATTTTTATGAAATCGAAAATACATCAATATTCCAAAATATTTGGCAAACGAATCATAATAACACTTTATAAATATTTATTGTGGAGCATTGATTAGGCTGAGGGATTGTTTTTTTTAAGCTAAGTAGGTGTTTATTATTCTGATGTCATTATTATTCACTACATTGTTAAAAATTCAATATTAACTGCATAATTGGTCCGTTTTGGGGTAGGTCTTTTATTTAAAACCAACACTACAAAATAAACTTTTATGATCAATGAATAATTAAGTAGTAGTACCTAATATTTGTTTATAGTTTTGTTGTTCATTAGGCGACTGTTTATATCGAATATCGTTGTCGACACTCTTGCGCAGCGGGTCGGCGTAACACAGTTGAGGATCTTCTCTCAACTTCACCGGGGTCTGTCTCTGTCGGCGGAGTGGGGACGTCGCCCACCTACGACACGCTTCGTGTAATGATACTCCCTGGGAAACAGATAATTGTGATAAAGAAGATTGCACAATGGTGATGATAATAATGGCATGGGACGGTAGTGGACTGAATTACTTATTGTTCGAAAAATAATATTTAAGATGTTTACAATAAACAGTACTTGCAATGCAACGGTTGTAGTAAAAATAAAGATAACTATTTTGTGGCTTTTAACGCTAAACGAATAAATTTATATTAATGTCTGGGGCTTAAATTATATTGCTTCAATAAATAAAATTACAACAATTAATGATTTTGTTTTACAAAAAGCCTCATGCCTTTTTTGTATCAATAACCTCATAACGTTATTTACATGTGATAGTCAATGTCTTTATAATAATTTAACCCACTAAAATCTTTTTTACATAGTTAAACATGTTTGTAACTTGATACCATAATATAAAAAAGTTTAATAATATATAAAGCTCACACTTTCAAAAAGTAATCAGATGTCATGTGAAGCCAAAATATAAACCCTACAAGGGTTTAATTTATAATCCCTAATTTTATATTTAAGTTGCTGCGAGATATTACTGCCGTAAGTCGTAGCGCATAGTCCGTAGCGCGTAGTTCGTGACACGTAGCTCCTAGATCGTAGTTCGTACTGCGTTGTTCGTAGGTCGTAGCTTGCAGGTCGTAGCCGGTAGTTCGTTTCGTAGCGCCTAGTGGCGACATCTCGTTGGCGTGTCTGGCCGTGTGTGGCCGACTCGTCAATTTATTTGCAGGGTTTGCATGCCTACGAGATCAATCACGGGAAAACACTGCTACACGCTACAAACCACGCGTTACGAGCTGCGGCAGTAGTATTTCGCTGCACCTTGCGTGTAAAATTAGGACTTATATTTTTCTAACCAGGGTTAGAAACTCATGCACTACATGACAAAATCATTGAAGAATTAAACCTTTAACTGCCGATAAAAACTGCTAAAGGCTATCCTCCGCTAATGTCGGACATCATTGTCCGACACGGCATCTAATATTAATGTATTGTCAAGTAATGGGTTCTGGCAAATGCAATGGACTACCAAGCAAAGAGTCTCGAGTTTCATTCACAGGTCGGGCACAAAACACTTGCGATTAAAAAGTATTCATAGTAATAACACGGAGTCTGGATTGTGCCAGGCGTATGGAAAAGAAATAAGCAATCCTTTTATTGTGTATAACGTATGTGTTATTGTGCATCTCCGCGAGGGTTAAAAGGCGTCACCTTATGTTTATTTAAAACACTGCGTTACAACGAATGTCCCTTATGACTGACCGATACAATTAAAAGGCAATGTCAATGAACTATCTCAATTAACAATTTGGCTTTCATATTTTGTTGATTAGTTTGATCGCCTCGCCATAACAAAGGCAATCAAATCAATTTTCTATAAAGAAAATTAATGGAAACCATGAACAAACAAAATTTACATCTTTGATAAGAAAATTTACCTGTGAACCAACCAAATCGGTTTTGTAATAAAATCGTGTCGTATAATTATGGCGATTACATTATAGGAACGCTGACAAGTTTTTAAGAGAAGAAATTACTGATGACGAAAATACAAAATACCTTAAATGTATGTCAACAAATTTCATATCCTCGATACGGCAGAAGCAGTCAGTCGCACATTTTTTATACATCTCCGTGTCGTAACGTTACGGTGAGGTTCCCGCCTTAATAACATTTAAGTAATGAATGACCCTTTACCATATATAGATTTATAGCCATCAGTCCATCGCCATATGCAACTTATTTTTTGTGCCGATTCATTGAGTAACCATGTAACCAATAAAAGCTGTTCTAATATTACGGAAGGACTACAAAATATACGGAATAAAATGTCCACGATTCACGGGAATCGAATTACTCATCGTTGTCGTATGTCTGTCAATGGCAAGAGGTCACGAAACAAAGTATTCAGGTCATCTATTTTGTTATTATCCTTCACCTTTTTGAATGATTTATTAGTTTACCGATGAATATAATATATTAATGACCTAAACATTTGCTAGTTTTCCTTGCACAACGTACAAAGTGCAAGAATATTTTTAAAAAATTGGCACCTACTTATGAATTAATTAAGAAATATTACATTCATGACAACACAACAATTAATTAGTGGTGTTATACGGCACATGTACCTACAACCGTACATATACACATATTGCATGTTTGTCTGAAATGTTGAGCGAGACGCATTGTAATTTAGTAATATTTAAATACAGATCTCATAATCACTAATAGAAAACAATTATTTCAATTACACGCCTGTTTTAACAAGTCATGCGTGTAATATTACATGAGTTAGTTCAGAGATACTCAACATGTTTCTTCTTTACTTACTTTGGATAATACAAGTGTATTACGGTATGTTTTGTAAAGATACGAGGTATGTTATGAAAAGTGTACTGTGAAAAATCAACAAGTTATAAGTCAGTATAATAGTTAATTGTTCGTATAAAAACGTTAAATACATGTGCTCACAGTTCGCCCACCCGAATTGCTTGCTTTTTTTATAGCTTAAACCGGTAAACGAGCAGACGGATCATCTGATGGTAAGCAATCGGCGTCGCCCATAGACACCTGGAACACCAGGGGCGTTACAAGTGCGTTACCGGCATTTTGGGGATTAAGAGTTTGAGGATCGTTGGGGATTCAGGGATTGGGGAGATTGGGGAAGGGGAGAGTAATTAGGCCTCCGGTAACCTCACTCACACGACGAAACACAACGCAAGCGTTGCTTCACGTCAGTTTTCTGTGAGGCCGTGGTATCACTCCGGTCGAGCCGGCCCATTCGTGCCGAAGCATGGCTCTCCCACACTTGTTTTATTATTATAGCTAAGTACGCCGAAAATGCATTATATAATTCCTTTGTTTAGAATATAAAATAAATGTATGATTTAAGCATATTATCTTAATATTTCATGTTAAATACCACTGGCCCCTTGATGGAGGTTCAGAGCTGTAGGCAGTGTCGTTTCAATGTTATACACACTTTCTCTGTACAAACTCGTATATAATTAAGACGACAAATGCTTATGACAAATTATGTTGTGTCAAGCCAGTCATGTGTTTTTTTTTTTTTTTTTTTTTTGGGGGGAAAATCATCGAATGACTGCCCCCGTCTCAGACTCTTATTTTTTTTAAACCA